GCAAAATCCTTCTGATTACTTTGTCTGATGTCCTATGAATTATGAGATTTTCTGCTCTGGCCGAAGGCAACAGAAACTATTCCTGGCCATGGTGAGTTCATCGATTGGTTTCTCTAACCCTTCATTCCTTTCCTGGTTTAGGGTAATGTCCTCACTCACATGTGCTGAGTATTTCTCTGCTGAATGCTTGAAGAAGACTGTCTGCATATCTACAGAGTTCTCTTTGTGCAGTTTACTCTTCTCTAATACTCAATCCTGTGAATTTTGTCCTCCTTCTCCAAGACTCTCTGTTCTGGCTTATCTACTCAGGAAGTCTTTCAGGCTCCACCTGACTTAGCCCTCCCTGTACTACCACTTGGAAACTCTTTCCAGGTAGTAAGCTAAGGCAGTTGTGGGGCATACTTCATTTGATCCCTGTCTCTCAGTATTCAGTGTCCTTTGTTGCCTGATGTCCAGTGTCCTGAAAAGTATCATTTCATATGTTTTGTCCTGTGTTTTAGATTTTTCAGGCATGAGATTAAATCCTGTCTTTGTCTGCTTCATTTTTTCTTTAAGTAGTAGTCTGGGAGTAGCATTTTAATTGGGTGATAGTAGTTCAATGTCTTACTTCCAGAATTTACAGTGTAGAATGTGGGAGAGCTACTGTTGATTCCCAGAGCTCTGGAACTTGCTGTGATAAAGGAACAGTGTGTTTCTGGTATGCTAGCCAGTGCTTAAGTGGCTAAGGTCTCTGGCTTATATCTGTCTACCTCCAGTGTAGAATGTGCCATGCGTGAGCATAGGGTGTGTTATTGGTTTATTATTAACTATAGAACATAATTCAATATGTGAAAGGGATTGTCTAGGACCCCCTTCTAAGGAGGGTCTTTAAAGGACCTTGTTAAAAACTGGTACCAAGGCATAGAAGGACAACAGTGTAATAAGGCTCCATTATTCATGATTTCTTGTGTTAGATTTTAGAAGTGTCACAAATATGTTTGAGAAATTCTTGTAGTCATTTCTAATTTTCTTTTAAACTCTTCAGACCTCCATTCTCGATGTGGGACTATCTAAACCCATACTAGCACAGAGATGCAGTCAGTAAGTTTTGATTCCTAAGTCTGGAATATTAGGTAAGAGCAAGCATTTTAAATGCATTACCCAAAAGATAATAAATTAGTACATTGATTGAGCAGCCTTTTAAAAAATGATTCAATGGTTACTTCTGTAGACAGCTTATTAATAATCAGATGTTTGTTGGTTATACTTCACTTGTGTGTACAAAAAATTGTTAAATAATCCAAAATGAGAACATGTTTTTATACCTTAGAAAAAGACTTTTTAAGTATATTTTTGTATGTTTTAAAGAATTTTATAATGTATGTCATTTGTATTTTAAAGGGAAAGATACCTATCCAAATTTCCCTTCCTCAAAATGTACACACACACACACACACACAAATACACAGGTAAACAAACAGAACTCTTAAGCTGTGCTTTATTTTGCTTATATCAAGAAAATGTAGTAGAATGAATGGCTGATTATTGTAACGCTGTCAGTTCTTCTAATGTTAATTTATTGGCTTAACAAAATTCCAAATAAAGCCACAATAGGGATTTTTGTTTGATGTTGACAGAATTATTTTATAGTTTCCTTGGAAAAATAAACAAATGCAAAGAAATAACATTTTTTGTTTGTTTGTTTGTTTTTTGAGACAGGGTCTTGCTCTATCACCAGGCTGGAGTGCAGTGGCACTATCCTGGCTCATTGCAACCTCAACCTCCCAGGCTCAGGCAATCTTCATGCCTCAGCCTCCCGAGTAGCTTGGACTACAGAAGCATGCGCCACTATACCCGGCTACTTCTTTTTTCAGTAGAGATGAGATCTTGCTATGTTGCCCAGGCTGGTCTCAAACTCCTGGGCTCCAGTGATCCTCATGCATTGGCCTCCCCAAATTCCCTTGTTTCTCTTGTTTAAAACTTTATAAAGTGTGGATAAGCAAAACATTATAGTATCAACACGAGATTAGAAACATACTGTATATCCCCAAAATATCCTGTTATAGATTACTTACCATATATCATTATGATAAAGGAAGAATCACAAATTGTGGCAAAGAGATTGTTCAATAAACAGTATTTGAGAAAGCGCTTAAATATTTCAAAAAATTGTTTTAAAATGCCGTCTCTACCATATACAAAAATAAATCTTACTTACATAAAAGAGCTAAATCTTGAAAACCCAGCTAAATATTTTGTTGACCATTGGATGGCGAATGTCTCCTTAAATCATCTATATATTTGACTAGCAAAAATTAAGGATTACTGAGCATAAAAAACTAGCACAAAATTGGATAAGTATTTGCAGCTAATATGATAGAAAACTGACATTTTTAATATTTAAGTGACTGTGCCAATTGACAAAACAGTAAGTCAGTAATAGAAAATAAGCACGAACATTACTGATAATTCACAAAAAAAGTAGAAAGACTACTAAACATGAAAAACAGTGTTCAGCCTAAAAATCAAAACTTAGATTTAAAAAATAATGCCATTTTCGCACACCAAATTTGAAAAGGCTTTTTACAGGGTATATTCCATGCTATCAAGGATGTGGTAAGACAAATGCTTTCATAAACTGCTGATGGGAGTGGAAATTGCTATAACCTTTTTGGAAAATAATTTTGTTGTGTATGTCAGGAATCTTTGACTATTTATGCTCCTTGACCCAGCATTTCATTTTTTAAAAAAAATTCTTAATTCATTTTTAGAAAATAATCATAAATATCAGTAATATGTACCTATGCATATTGCAGAGTTATTTCAAATAGTGAAAAACTGGAAATAACCTAAATGTCAAGAAGGAGAATGTTTAGGTAACTTACAGTAAATTGGTATGGTTATATTGTACAGCTATTGGAAACTATTTATAAATAAATTTTAAAGACATAGGATGCTTATGATATAATATCAACTGGGGATAAAGGAGGCCACTAAATAGTACTTGTACAGTAGTCTGATTTCAACTCTATTAAAACACACATTCGTAGACACATTCAAACACAGATATGCACAAAAAATTGAAAAGCAAATGACAAAATATTAAAAGTGCTTAGCTCAAGAGTACTGGAGTTTAGGATGATTTTCATTTGGTCAGGGGGGAGGGCGATTTATGAGTAGGACGATTAGTGGGTTGGAAAGCATTATTGGCAGTGAACCTAAAATTTGTTTTTAGAAAAACAAACATTGCAGCATAGCATGTGGCAGAAGTGGCTTCTAGGGAAGAGTTCATTCTTATGGACAAGTATCCCTGAGTTGACATCTTGGGCCTCCTTCTTACTAGCTGTGTTACTTTGGGCAAGTTACTTAATCACTCTGAGTTTCTTTCTCCATTTGCAAGATGTTCCTAATACCTACCTCATAGAGTTTGGAAGCTATAATAATATAATGATTGTACAGTGCCTGGCACATAATTTCTATTTAGTAATGTTTTATTTGCATCTATCATGAGGCTTTCCACCAAGACAACTTCATGACAAGGTGATAGGCTTGCATAACTATAATTAGGCAAAGTTTTTTCTAATTTAGTTTTAAATAATTTTTATTTAGCCTTTTCTTATGTATTAGCCTTCAGAGAACTTTCTTATTATCCTTGGTTAGAAGTTGAATAGGCAACAGTTATTTTTATTCTTAATAAAAAGTCAAGTGAAAGTGATGTTTTTATACTTTTACCATTATAATATTCAAATTAATGCTCCCAAAACTTAGATAATAAACAATCTTTGTTTTTCTGTTGATCATTTAAAAAAGTAGTTAGCATATCAGAAGTTATTAACTGCTCATTCTCTGCAATTTTACTAGTAACCTGGATCTGCATTGTGAAATGCAGGGGCCATAATTCTAAATGGGCAAGCAGGTTGTAAGCTATTATGACATGTACTTTATGCAGTTTTGAGCCTTCTTAATAATCCAGAGGTTTCTTTATGAAAATAACCCATTTTGAGAAAAATATTTGATTTCACCAATCTGGAGTTCTTGCTAAACCTTAAAAATTACATCTCATGGCTGATTAGTGTCCAATTCTATGTGTAAATGAATACTCACTAGTGAATGGATTTAGATATAAATCTATAATAATAATACCTTATGGTTATATATATATAGTTTTTTAAAGTTTACAAAGCTTTTTTTCCACATAAACTGATTTGATTCTTACAACAACCTTGTTAGGTATATACAGCAGATATTATTGTTCTGTTTTACAGATTTAGAAACTGAGGCCCAAAGGGCTAAGTGACATGTCTGATATTACACTGCCAATTCTGATTCAAGTTCATTACTCTTCACTTCATCATAGCAGCCTATTTCCAGGCACAAAATGATTGAGTAATACAGTGCCATTACACTCATATACATTACTAACAGAAGAGGCTTGGATCCACCCCTTAGGTCAGAGATGAGTTCACAATTGTGTGTAAGATAAGAGTTACTAAATTAACAACTTGTGGTAGTGTAGTAAAAGCTTTGGGTTTGTAGAGCCCCTAAAAGTGAAATTTCTGAGAAATGATAGTAGACAGTAAAAGAGAGAATGGTAGAAATAGTGGAATTCCCAGTGCTAAAACAAAATACCTTCTATATTTCAAATACCCTAAGGGTAACTATATTATAGCAGAGTACTAAAATTAATATTGGTATTATGGGACTAAGTCACTTTAAAAAAGGTGAATCTTGTGCTGTGCATTTAGTGTGAGAAGATATACAAACAACATAATGTTTCGGAAAGATTTACATTAAAATGGTTAATATTGAAGTGACGCATTCTTAAAGAGTTTCGTTTCATTTATATGGAAATCTTATTTCTCTGGTATTGCCAATAATTATGCCAGTCAAATAAGAATTGACTATGCTTATTATCTTATTATTTTCCTAGATTTGTCTGTCTACTCATTTTGAAAGAAGTATTTTTAAATATACTGAATACTGAAAGAAAGATCAAATGATAATTCATTATTTTGTTCTAGGTTCTGTTTACAGAGGAAGATGTGAAATTCTACCTCGCAGAACTGGCCCTTGCTTTGGATCATCTGCACCAATTAGGAATTGTTTATAGAGACCTGAAGCCAGAAAAGTAAAGCTGTATTCTTCTTTTGTATTCATGTTGTCTGTGTTTCTGGAAGTACTTTTTGTCAAACTCCATTAGGTCTTTTAAATATTATAGGGAATTCTATATGAATTACATGAAACTTGTTTGTAAAAAGTAATCTTTGTAAGACATACATTGACTTTAAGTTAATCATTTAAATTTTTTTAAATATATTAAATAGATACTGACCTATCTTAGTTTTATGATTTTTATGTAAATGTTTTATGTAAAATATTTTATTCCATCTTGTTGAATGTGAATTTTGATTTACAGCATTTTGCTTGATGAAATAGGACATATCAAATTAACAGGTATGCAGATTTTCTTATTATACCCTTAGCTGCTTGATTCATATTTTTTATTATTTTAATATAAATTTGTCTAAGCCTGTTTTTTTCTTTTTCTGAATTTCATTTGCAATTTTTTCATCTCTTTAGTGAATTAAATGTTATTTGATGGTTAGACTGCTCTCAATATGTTCTAATTGTAATATTAAAAAATTGTACATTAGATACACTTATTGTAAATAATTAATGATAGTTTTTTAGGTAACAATACGTCATCTGAGTTTCAGTCTAGACAGAATGATGTATCACAAGTAGTCATCACATTTGAAATATAGTGACAACCTTCCCTCTGCCTTCCCTGACTCCTGGCAACCACTTATATGTTCTACATCTCTATAATTTTGTTATTTTGAGAATGATATAGAAATAGAATCATACAGTTGTCACACTACTGAGCATTTATCCTAGAAAAATAAAATCCTATGTTCACATAAAAGCCTATAGATGAATGTTCGTAACAACCCTACTTGTAATAGCCCGACTGGAAGTTACCTAAATGTTCTTCAAAAGGGGAATGAATAAATATAAATTGTCATACGTCCATGTGATGGCATACTACTCAGCAGTAAAAAGGAAAGACCTGTTGAGACATCCAGCAACTTGGATGGATCTCAAGGGCATTGTGCTGAGTGAGCCAGTCTCAAAAGGTTACATGTGTTTTCAATAGGTAGTAAATTCTGTATTTTATTATTTGAATGTTAGAACAGAGGTAAAATGAAGATGTGGTCTTTACAGATAATTTTAAATAGGTACAGTTTAAAGGTAAGTTGCTTTAAATTCCTGTGTATACTGCATCAATGCAAAAATAAAATATCAGTTACCTCAAAAGCTGACATAAATATGAAAAAAGTCAAATAAAGTTTAGTAACTCTTACTGATTCACAGCCTGATTATCTTTTTCATGTACAAAAGAAATGATGTGGATTCGAAGATATTTAAAGAGAAAAAGGAAAGGAAAATAACAATCGGGAACAGTAGAGTTTTGAGATTTTTATATAATACATAAATTTGTATTTTACAGCAATTAAAAAGATAATTAAAAATTAATTCCTCTTTTCATTTTTGCTTAATAAAGTATACCTGTTTTGTCAGAGGTGAGAAAGAGTAGAAAAAAACCCTATTTTTCTCTCTCTACGTTAAGGTTAGTTACGTAAATAATGATGCCAAATTGATTTGTATTTAGTATTCTCATTTTAGTTCTGCTTTTGATAGATTTTAGAGACTTAAACTGTCTGAGGAGGGAAGAATAGATAGAATCAATATTAATTTATAAGCAAGGGACACAAAGCATGTAACAGGAAGAAATGTGATTCATAATTTTTTTGACAATTCAATTTATTTTCCTTGCAATGGCATAAACATTTCTTTTAAAGACTGTGTACAATAATAAATATTAGATAATTTACAGTTTTGTGATTATAACCTAGGTCAAGGTTTTATAATGACTACATTTATGGATTTACCCCGACAGCATTCCAATGAGGTTGGCTAAAGTATGACCACTCACAGCAAGTATTTTAACCCATTTATGCCTGAGGCTGCAATTTTTTGAATTTTTGCAGTCAGACTTTGATGATGACCTTGAGCAGTAGGATATAAATAACTCCCACATGCTTAGCGTTCCAATAATGGAACACTAGGCATAAATGGGTTTAAGAATTCTTCTATAATGTTTCTTTTAATTTATTTTATGTTCTTTATCTCTCTTTCTCTTTAATTTTTCTTGTTTCTTTCTTTCTTAACCTCCTGTGTATCTTTCCTCCCTGCTATACGTCTCTTCCTATCTCCTCCTTTCCTTCCATATTGAATAGTAAGTAAAAAATACCAGCTTGATTGCTATTTGCTGTTGACACCAGGGGGCTGTGTGCATGTTGTTACGATTTAGCAATGTCTCACCTAGGGAGGGTCTTTGCTAGCATTCTGTTTTCCAAGAATAATTACAGGAGAATGACAATACTTTTTTTTTTTTTTTTTTCCACCAGTCCACTTTAAAAATTCTCCAGACATAAGGAATAGACCTAATATCTGAAATGACAGGCTACTGTGAAATCACAATGGACTATAGAAAGTTTCCTGTTATAACTGTGCTTTGAGTCTGATTGGCCTCATTCTGAGTTTATGATTGTTATAGCGGATCAGTAGAATGAGAGTGGATGAGAGTGGATATCCCCAAATATCTACATTCTTGCTAATATATTATTTGTATTATATATTATTATAAGACTTAAGTTTTTTTTTTCTGAAATCCTGCATCCTTTTCACACTCTGTACAAAATCCCTCCCATAGTTTATATAAAAACTTTATAATATGACTTGCCTCTTTAGAAAAATTATTTAATCATAATATCCCATTAAAAAGTATAGCTTGAATACAGAATCTATTTGAACTATGATTACTCTAATCTGTTGCACTTTTTAAATTTTTTTTTTTTTTTTTAAGAGACAGAGTCTTACTCTGTCACCCCGGCTGGAGGGCTGTGGCATGATCACATCTTATCACAGCCTTTATTTAACACCTGGGCTCAAGCCATCCTCCCACCCCAGCCTTCTGAGTAGCTGGGACCTCAGGAACGTGCCACCACATCCAGCTATTTTTTTTTTTTTTGTAGAGACAGAGTCTTGCTATATTGCCCAGGCTGGTCTTGAACTCCTGGCCTCAAGCAATCCTCCTGCTACGGCTTCCCAAAGTGTTGGAGTAACAACACTGTGCCCAGCCTGTAATGTGTTTTCTGAGAGACATAATTCAGAAGCAACTTCTACAAAGAGAGGGAAGAAAAATATACAGTGGTCAGAGATGTAAATCACACAATACTTGAGCTGAGTATTTAAGAGAAGAATGTATACTTGAGAAAATAATTCTATGTAGTTTTTATAGTTACTTGCAAACTAATCACTGAGATTGCTTTTATTTATAGTAAATATTCATCAAATTATTATATTCTGAGTATGCTTTTAAAGGTTAAAGTCTTATAAAAGAGTCTTTTAGATTACAAAGATGTGAAACACTGACACTCAAACCTACCCCCCAAAATAACCCTTCATTATATAGTTGAATTATACATTTTCTTTTATTTTCAAATTAGTGATTTGGAAAAACCACTGTATAACATATGGCTTATCTAATCTTGTAGCTAGTTTTATAGTTGTACAATTTTTGTTAGTTGATTGCTGAACAAATTATACTTGTTAAATAACAGTTTAGTCAGAAATAGTATGGCAAAGGAACTCTGTGGATTGGCATAAATCTCTGAAAGGTTAACAGGCGAATAAGAAAATTCTTGTCTCCCCACTTCTCTCTGGAATGGCCAAAGAAACCAGTGTTCTTCTCCACAAGCTATGTTATATTCAGCTGAACTGACCTGGAAGACTAGATGTTAATTATATTTACTTTTGTAAATGGAATGTGCAGAGTTTACAAGTTTCAATATACAGAGAAAGAACATAGTAGCACAGTGAAAAGATTTTTAAAGATTATACTGAAAGTTAAAATACATTAAGCTATTATCTCAGGATAAGTGATTTTTTAAATGAAAATATTGAGCAGAGTTAGAAAATCAGTTTTGAGGGGACCTAAAATTAAGAGTTAATGTTGATGTTTTGTTGTAAATGAGCAATATAGGGCTTATAGATTTTTAATTTTTAAAATGAAAGTATACTTTACATATGTTAAAACTCATCCTTCTGATGTCTTTTGATGATGGAACTATCCTGTGTCTTGACTGCATCAATGTCAGTGTCCTGGCTGTGGTTATAGTACTATAGTTTTGCAAGATTTTAGCATGGGGGACACTGGATAAACAGAATCCCTGTAGTTTTTCATGTAACAGCATACGAATATGCAATCATCTCAAAATATAAAGTTTAATTTTTAAAAATCACTTTTTTGTGTATAGTTCTGCAAGTTTTCACAAATGCGTACAGCCTTGTAACTATCACCAAAATAAAAATATGGAACAGTTCCATAACCCTGCTCCTCCAAATTCTCCCCTTATAAGTCAATCCTCCCTTTACCACAAGCCAACTACCAGTCTACTTTCTGTTCCCGTATATATGCTTTTCTCATAATGTAATTATGAACAGAGGCATACAGTATACAGCCTTTGGAGACTGGCTTCATTTAATTAGCATAGGGCATTTGAGATTCATCCATATTGTTGGCTGTATCAATGAATATTTTTTTAAATTGCTAAGTAGTGTTTCATTTTATGGTGGTACCATAATTTGTTTATCCATTCCTCAATGAGGAGGCATTTGAGTTGTTTCCTCTTTTGGGCAATGATGAATAAAGCCACTGTAAACCTTCATGTATAGGTTTTTTGACCATAAATTTTTATTTCCTTTAAGTAAATACATAAGGAGTGAGATTAGTTGATCATATGTTCGGTGTATTTAACTGAGTGAGAAAACTTCAAACTGATTCCCAAAGTGGTTGTAATATTTTGTATACCCACCCGCAATGTCTAGTGGATCTGTATCCTCACTAGCATTTTGTATTGTTAGTATTTTTTATTTTATCTATTCAAATAGGCGTTAGGTAGAATTATCATGGTTTTATTTTGTATTTTTCTAAAACTAATGACACTAAGCACGTTTTCATGTATTTATTTCTTTGAAGAAGTGTCTATTCAGATCTTTTGCCCATTAAATGGATTGTTTGGTTTTCAACCTATAATTTTTTATATTTTTTAAATTTTATTTTTTATTTTTTTTTTTATTATACTTTAAGTTCTAGGGTACATGTGCATAACGTGCAGGTTTGTTACATATGTATACTTGTGCCATGTTGGTGTGCTGCAGCCATCAACTCGTCAGCACCCATCAACTCGTCATTTACATCAGGTATAACTCCCAATGCAATCCCTCCGCCCTCCCCCCTCGCCATGATAGGCCCCAGTGTGTGATGTTCCCCTTCCCAAGTCCAAGTGATCTCATTGTTCAGTTTCCACCTATGAGTGAGACATGCG